CTCAATGAGTTTCATCAACTACTCTCTCTTTCTCGTTTTGTCAATCTGTCACCATGAAAATCTCATTCTACATTAGAAATAATTCTTCTCATATTTAAATCATAGATTCTATTTAATTGTGGAAAACACAACAACAATAACACTAGAAGAAAATAGCTTCATTTTGTTTTTTTTTCAAAAATGAATACCATGTTCTACAGTAATATATACTATAAAGTCATTATTTTTTATTCCACTATTCAATGAACAAACGAACAGTTGATACCATTAATTAGAGCTATACTGAATATCTAAATATGAAATGTGAATTTAATGAAGCGATTAAGAATGATTAATTTAAAACGCGAAGGGCACACACAAATTAAAAAGAGTTTTTTATTAGAGAAAGTTTTCTCTTTCTCTCTCTCTCCTCTCTCTCCCTTGTGTTGAACGAGACAGGTAATAATGTAATATCTGTTAGGTACTATATATAGAGGAAGAGAGGGAAAGAAAATAAAAAGAAAGTGATAGAGCGAAAATTTCAACGTTCGTTCTTTATATTTTTTGAAAGTATTAACTGTTGTGTGTGTATTGTCTTATAATCAAGAGGTACGCATAAGAATTTGTTCAAGTTGTGACCATTAGAGCTGTTGCCATCAAGATTTGAAGAATAAATCAAACGCTAGTCACATTTTTTATTGTTGAAGTAAGTCAAAACTCATATTTTACTACATAATCGATTCTTCTTATATTCACTGAAGTTTCTCAAAAAAAGTTTTTTTTTTAAAATGTTTTATTGCAATATGTTAAAATACATTTCTTTTCTTTTTGTAAGAGTGTTTCTAGGTGCTTTCATATTAATCCTGTGACAGTATCGCTCTTCTTCGCTTGTTTAGTGACTGTGTTTCATTCAAAAAGAAAAATTTCAAAAGATTTTTACATTACCTTTTTCTAAGAGCTGCAGAACTGAAATCGCTCACAGTTGTGAGCAATTTCAGTTTTTGCATTTTACATCGATGTTGTTCAAATAAAAATTGCTGAAATTTCTGGAATATTTTCTATGTTAAAAAATTCTTAACCGCTTGTTTTTATATGTCATGATTAACAGATACTCCAAAAACACTACTATCTGTTCACAACCTATACGAAATTAAATCGAAAGAGAAGACTTTTTGGTTCGAAATCTATTTTCAAAGTTGAAACTAGACTGATAATTCAAAGGATGGAGGACTACTGTAATTCATTACCTTGTCTAAATAAGTTTTCTTTAACGAAGGTTTTCATTGTATACTCGAAAAATATTGTTCTACAGAACAACAAGTTTTATAGAACTAGTCTTTAAAGTCTCTTATTAAATTCTGATCATAATCCTTCTTTGTAACAAAAAAACTTTACATTCATATGTATCACATCCTATCATCATCGTGTAGACATTATGGATTGTAAACTGAAACTTTTATTTGCCATGTAGTATAATGTTACTTATTTTATTGCTGTAATAATAATATGAATGTAATTTATCCATTATCCACTGATGTAAACTAAACTAAACAAAAATTAGATAATTGTAATTATTCACCGTTGGTCATTTAGTGAATAACGCTGTTGTTGATCAAATTGGATTGAGTATCTCACATTTTTGTATAAATCATATGTAGCAGAAGAAGAAGAAGAAGAAATAAAATGAAACCCATATGTTTTAATTGTATTAAAATTTAAAGTTTAAATAATGCATGAGCGTAGCTCACTTGAACACAATATACATTTCGATATTTTTAACCAGTTTCGTTTGTGTTCATAAAAACAAAACTTCTTGCCTGTTTACTATTGAACTTTGTTCAGAAAAAATATAAAAAGTATCTCTACTTGAACAAATATACAAAAGAAGACAAAGTATTTATATTCTTAAGAAATAGCATAGAGTAATGTTATGTAACTTAGAAACATCAACATTTCTGGTAGCATAATTTAGAAGCTCGACACTAGTTGAATATTTTAAAATCAGGCAACAAAGAAGAATGAGAAGCCACGTCATGTAAATGAAGTTTATTTTTTTCATGAACCAAAGGTAAACTGACATTTTTCTACTGTTGTTCAATACGTATTGTTTTCATAATCAAAAGAGTTAATTGTAGGAAGAAAGTTTTTTTCTGTAGTGATATTAAATCCATTTTAATATTTTCTTAATGATCAGAATTTCGTAAAAATCGTTTCCAATATTTGTTCGTAAAAATAGAGAATTGTTAATTCTAAGATGTTTGTACAAGATCACATTGATAAGCGGACAAGGTGTGCATAGTAATCTGTCCTCTTTGTTTTGTTAGTAGTGCACAGAACTAGTTATGATTAGATTATTTTATCACGCACCAGCTGATCGGCTGCGTTTTATTCAGCTTACTCCCAAAAGAGATAATAGTACTTTGTGACGCACTCTTGTCTACCCGTAGTCACTTTTGTTGTTATTATTGGGGCAAGAGTTTTATTGAAACAGAAATTCGAATATGACATTAAAACGCTTTTTGACAGCACATGACTAGAAATTGCTTCATCGGAGCACAAATTTCGAACCATTGAAAGCTAATTTTTAGGAAAAAACACAAATATACGCGCCTGTTTCATGAGCGTGCTTATTGTGGTTACAGTCAGTTCAATTTATTGCTAAATAAATAAATTTATTTATTTATACTTGTAATTTAGCTATAGAACAACGAGTAAAATCGCTACTTATGTCGTCAAAAATGGGAGGAAATGGCTGATTAAGCTCATGATTTCAGTAAAAACCGTGTTTTAATCGCGATTTATCGACAATTTTTTCTCAAAATCGCGATTAACCATACGATTCATCGTTCACGTCTTCCCGATCTAGACGACATGAGATACACTATTTTTTTAATGATGGACAAAATATCTGTCTCACGATCGAAAGTTTAATTCATATTGACTCGTGTTTTAATCTTGCAGTTTTCTTAATAGTATTCGTTTAAGACCCCATAAACTTTTCGTTTCTCTTAACTAATTCATAATTAAGTGTAATGTTTTCCTTCTACATTTATTTTCTTCACATGTAATAAAAGTATAAAAAGAGTTTGTTTTCTTTCATGAGCACATCCGCACTACGGTTCATATAATTACTTTTAGAGTTTATGTGTTACTTTTTGTTTTGTTACTTGTTTTCCTTACGTGAGTTTCACTTTGTTTTCTTCTTTTTTTTCTTCATTGACTTTGATTTTAAACGGAACATGTATACATCCCATTATTTTCGCACATACACAAAACATTTTTTTTTTCTTGCCATTAATAGAACAACTATAATCATCTCATCCTGTGTACGACAAAGTTTAAATCCACTTAGAAGTTTAACAGGATTATACTACACCTATCATCTAATTTTCCCGTAAGTATAAATCGAATTTGATATTGGCTTATCAATTATATTGTATATGGGACTCGAAACAGGATAAATTTACCCCTTTTTTTTCCTATGTATTGAAGAGAAGTTCATAATGAATTTGTTTTCTTCGAGGATTCAGAATAAGTTATTTCAAATTAAATACTATTATTTAATTTAGAAAAGTTTTTAACGTCTAATCAGTAGTACTTTGATCTCTCACATATCTTATTAGTAATCATTATATATTAGCTACATACATATAATAATTCTATGATAACTATTTTTCAGAACTTATAATCGAAAGTGAACCCTTTAGGCATACATATAACGCTTAAAGTTATTCAAAATATTTTCTGTATAGACATACCATATAGTGGACAAGTGTTCCAGTTTAAAACGACAACAACACGTGTACTTGAAAAATGAATTAAAAAATTATGTTTTATGACTAGTCTCTTTTTCTCTATAATGTTTGAAAGTGTTCATCTATGTAGTATATTGTATTGTTGAGTTCAGATGTCAAGAGTTATAAACTAAGAATAGATAGAGATATATATGTAGGAAAATAGTAGTTTGTTCATTGTCCAACATTCTAATAAAAAAAAGAGAATAAAATCGATGTTATATTACTTTATCTATAAATTTTTATCAATGAGATATTTATCATAGAGATATTTGCTTATAACACACACATATAAACAATTTCAGTCTCTCTCTCTATTGCACATATGTGTAATGAAAAAATAAGAATAAAGGTGCTAATTTCTATTTAACAATAATAGGATTTTCAATCTCTGAGCACATGCGCGTTCAGTTCAATAGGACTATTTACATTAGTATTATATGTCCTGTTCTTCTCTCTCTCTCTCTCTCTCTAAAATACACAACAACTTTGATTGTTGATATTTTATTATGTATGTAAATCATTCAACTAAAATTTACTGTTCATTCATTTTTACTAAATACACAGGTTAGATAGATATGCTCTACTATGACAGTTTATAGGATGGACATCGCAGATAACATTTTATAAGATATACGGTGATATATCTCTCGAACGTTTGAAGAAAAGTGTTCTATATTCACGTATTGACTGCGAATAGACTAATTTAGTTTTTTCGAAGAAAAAAAAACAATATACAACTGGAATACCTATTTCTCAAGTTGAATACTTAGCACTCGATAAAAATTTGTTTTCAACAGAAAACAGCATGTTACTTTTTTTGGAAAAATTTTAATCTCCTACACTTGAACAATGCCGGATATTTTTCACTGTCGATGAGGGATTTATCATATTGTCAAATGAGTATGAACGAACAGTAAAATGACAAACGATATCATAATTAACAAATATAACGTTCTTTATATTTTATAATTATAGGGAATGAGAACGCGTGTTCTCTATTTTTTCTCTCGCCATTTGTTTTAAAAGGAAGTCAATAAAATTTATAATTCGTGATACATTATAATTATATCTACTCAAACAAACTTCAATTGAGCAAATTTTAAAAAGAATATAATTATAGGCAAAAAATTTAGAGAAGGTACCGCTATTGATATATACATCTGTTATTTAAACAGAAATAACTGAGTAATTATTTTGTCTGTTTTAGATCTAACTATTGAAAATATGCTATTAATATCGATATTATTATTACTTTTTGTTTTGATTCCATCATATATTTCTCAATTAACAATTGATAATACAATTTATATTCATGAAGAAATAAAATCAAATGTATTAATAACAAAATTAAATTCAAATTTACAATGGTTACCAGCTTCGTTTGTTTATCAACGATATTTTCGTTTAGAAAATGCATCATTATACACATCTGATAGAATTGATCGCGAAGAATTATGTTATAAAAAGTTATGTGATTGTTCAAAATGTTTATTACCATTAAAATTTGTTCAGACTATTAGTCCAAGTAATATCTCAATCATTACCATTAATATTCTTGTTGAAGGTAAGAACTAAAAAGTAAAGTTTCACTAACTAACAAATTTGACTTTATTTTTCCTTCTCTAGATATTAATGATCATACTCCTACATTCAAACAATCTTCTTTGACATTAAATGTATCCGAAAATGTTCCTGTTGGCTATGAAATATCGTTGGAGCCAGCTATTGACGAAGATTATGGTCTTTTATCCGTTCAGACATATGAACTACATCCATCAACAAGTCCATTTCGTTTGAGTAAATCTAGTTTAACAAATAAACCTCTATTAAAATTGATTGAACCATTAGATCGTGAAACAATTGCTTCTTACACATTACATTTGTATGCCTTCGATGGTGGACAACCACCATTATCTAGTGAACAAAAATTACTAATTCAAATTACTGAGTAAGTATAGTATATTATTTGTTAACAACTTACATGAACTAACACATTTATTATTGATTATGGTTTTTAGTATCAATGATAATGCTCCGATATTTGATTATCGTTTGTACAATCGAACAGTTCCAGAAAATGAAACAGTAGGAAATTTATTATTACAAGTACATGCCACCGATAAAGATATTGGTGAAAATGCGAGAATAACATATTCATTAGATGGTGGTGATAATGGAGATAAATTATTTACAATTAATGAACAAACTGGTGAAATATTTTTAAAATCATCAATGGATTATGAACAACAACGAGCATATACGCTTACAGTTTATGGTAAGAGTTGATAAACAGCTATCTTTATAATAAAGTTAAACAATTTAAATATATCTTTTAGCCAAAGATCATGGAGTACCACCGCTATCTGATTATGTAATTGTTAACATTAATGTAACCGATGTTAATGATAATCAACCACAAATATTACTAACAAAAATTGATGGAACGAAAGTTATTAATTCATTGACATTTCCAGAATGTACACCAATAGGTAATGAGTAGAAAAATGAGAAGTTATTAATCATAAATTATTTATTTTCTATTAGGTACTGCAGTGGCTTATATGTATGTGTCAGATTCTGATTCAGGTGAAAATGGTCGTGTTACATGTACCGTTAACGATGCCCATTTCATCTTGAATCTTTTGACAACCAATGCTTATTCATTACAAATACGTGAACCCTTTGATTATGAACAACAGCAACAACAAGCGGGTGTAATAGTCACATGTTCTGATCATGGTGATCCTGTTTTGAGTATGTCACAAACGCTAACAATTTTAATCCAAGAGTACGTAGTAATGTATTTATCAAACTTTGTCAAATTTTCAACTCTTTTATTATTGTAGTTGCAATGATAATGCACCAGAAATTGTTTCACCGACACTACCATTCAATGACTCTATCTATATCTCTTTTGAGTCAACATCGTTACCCTTTGTCATTGTGCAACTTATTGTTCGAGACCTAGATCGTTTTCAACCACAAATATTTTCCTATACGTTCGAATCTACTCCTAATAATATCGATCAAAATTTAATCTTAAATAATAATGGAACATTAATTTTACATACGATGCCCACATTAATTGGCTTTTATTCCATTAATATATCGGTAACCGATAGTGGCAAAGATAAACAATTGACAACATCGATTCAAATACCCATTCGTATTTATTCTCAAAATGATAGTCATCATTTATTATTGGGTAGTAAAAATTTAGCAATTGAACGAACAGGTCTCGTTTTGGTTGTATCATTCTTAGCTATTACATTATGTGCAGCAATTTTAATAACATGCTGTTTTCTATGTGCATTTATTATTCGAACTAAACGTCAAAAACATCAGAATAGAACAACAACAATGACATCGAGCAAATCAATATGTTTTAATTGTTGTTATTCATCGTTAACATCGTCATCTTCATGTGAATCATCAAATGAAAATAAAGATGCTCGAAGTAGTACAAGTAATACGAGTGAAAATGAAGCACATTCATCAGAAAAAACAACGATCGAAGTTTTAGATGAAGCGGTATGTAGAAAATATTCATTATATCGTCTAATTAGGGATATAAAACTATTGTTTTTATACGGTTGACACTCATTTGATAATGATATTGTCAAGACGTGTATCAATTACAATTTCCTAACCCTTCAAGGCTCATTTAGATATGGAAGATTGCCTCTCTCTTCTCTTTCTTTTTCTTTCGTTAAGCATATGTTCACCGTATTAATGTCATCAAGGTTGATAAAAAATCATTAAGCGAGGAAAATAGAAGTTGTTTAACCATGTTTGATGAAGATTTTGTTTATTACTTAAGAAAATATAAGAACATGTGCAAAACTAGTACAACGTATGAATAAAACTATTGATTTGGCGTGTGTTAGAGTAATTTTCGTTGATTAAATGCTATAATACGTCATTCATATTTCCTGACTCATATCTGTTACTTACGTCACAATATTCTAATGTACATTGACACTTTTTGTCTACGAGAAAGAGAGAGAGAGGTCAATGTCGATTAGCAAACAGGCAATGTATGTCTTGAGTGATGGATAAAAGGAGCATGAATAATGATTATTTTTCAGTTTTGAAACATAATCCTATTTGTACAGTTAGTTCTATGTATATAAAGCATTGCATCACACTCACAGTAGTTGTGTATATGCAGTTTTTTTTTTCAAACGAGAGATCATGATCATTAATAATGACAAATCTTCAAAGTAAAAATAAACCGATTTAAATGATTAGAAAAATCTCATTTATTTGTCTGCGCCATTGACAAAATTTAATAAATTGATTTTGACAATTCAAAAAAAAGAGAGAAAAAAAGAACGGAAATGAACATGCACTGACACAAATTAGAGAATAGACTGTGTTAGACTAAAAATGTTCTTTTCACACGCTATAGATCAACATACACGAATCAGGTGTGATCAGATGCTTGTGTACCTGTTTTTTTCAACGTACCATATACTACCTTGTTGTTATGTCCTGTCAAAACTTTACATCAATTCAATATTCAGTTCCAATATTCAAGAACTTGCTTTATAAAAGTTCAAGAATCTTATCATTAGAGAGAGTTCAGTTGTCTACTCATGTGTAATATTCGTTCCATCTAGGATCACTATTTAATTTTTATGTTATTCTCATTGTCACTCCTCAGCAGGAAGACATTATATGAGTATCGTATTGAACTTGAGAGACTGAACTGTTGTTATTGTAGAATAGGTGAGAGACTAATTATAAAATAAATATATATTGTTCGTTTTGATTTCTCTCTCTCTCTCTCTCCCTCTCTCTATTGTCAAGAACAATAGTTTTAGTTACATATTATTCAGACAACAAGACACATCAGTTTTATTGCTAAAACGTGTACAACATATCGTGATTGTTATTGTCTCGAACTGAAATGTTAAAGGTTACTTTTCTCAGAGCTAGATAAGTTGTCTCATCTGTCGCTTACTTTTATCCCGACTAGATAAACAAAAACGATGATGATGATAATAGGAAAGATTAAAAATACGTTCATTTTTTTCCTTTTCGATAATACTTTCGATGTTTACAATATACACGAAAGGCTCTACACCTTGGATTTAGTCGCCGATCATATAAAGAATAGAAAACAGAGCATTCTATTGTTATCATCAAATTATATATTCTATATACAGCTCATTTAATCGAACACATGTTCAATTTTTAATCATCAATTGTATTTTTTTGACTTAATTATCCTTGACAAATGGTGATTAGACATCTATAGCCTGTAACCGTTTGAAAAACAAAAGATATGGCAGCAAAATTATTTATGTTTGAATTTGTTGCTGTCATTTGTGACACCTATTAGAAAAAAAAATGAAATAGAAACCCTATTCTTGAACTAGTTATTAGTATTGAATGTTTTTGCTAAAATTTCGTCTACAGATTCATTTTACTATATGAATTCAATATGCGGCACTTGTAACGATACTATTGTGATAAAATCCTATGTATATGTACGGTTATCATTTAAAAATTAGCTATTGTTGTCCGTCTTGATCTTAATTAACTCTATAAATAAAAGAAGAAAATAGTCAATGTGAAATGAGGGGAATAAAATATATTTAAATTGTAGTTTATGTGTGAGTGTATTTCATCTTTTGTTGAGTTTAATGAGATAAACGGTATATATATTGAACAATTAGATAAAAGCATTTACGAGCCGCCCTTTTGTTATTGTTTCATTTATGTTTTAGAGTTCATCGAATCGTATCTATCAATATTCGGTTAAAAAAGCTGATATTAAACAATGGTCCGATTTTAATTACTCGGAAAAAGTAGGTTTAAAATCATTTTTGAAAATAATTCAGCAAAATAATTTTTGCTTATTCTATCTTTAGGTTGAACGTTATTTAACACATTTAAATCAAAATAATAATGGTAAAGCGGCTGTTGTTATTCAACAGCCCATTCCTTATATTCCTCCGACAACAATAGTAAATGATTCATTGTCTGATGAAGGATGTTATGGTAGTTCAGATATATCCGATCAAAATGATTGTCATAAATTACATTCAAACCATTTGCACAGACACCAGATACAATCAAAACCTTGTATAAGACTTTCTGTATATGATGATCGACCACCATCATCAATTATGTCGACTACAAACCAATATCAAAATAGTTTTAAACGTTTTGAACAATTGTATTTATTAACAGCAGAAAATAATAAAAATCAACCGTCGCCACATTTAAACGATACAAATACATCGGCATTCACATCAGATAGTCTCTATGTATAGACGCTAGAGCATTCTATTTTGTCCATTAGATAAATTTTCTTTGTTTGTTTTATAATCTTTATACAAAAAATAAACTTAAATAAAAATTTCTGATATTAAGAATTAGCTTTATATTTAGAGAATTAATACCTGATTCTGGGTCTATTAATACAACTATTATAATTATACACCAAATATAAGACAAAAAAAGAAGACAAAGATCTAACCTTTTAGTGGGTGCCTAGTGATATACACAACGAATAATTTTAACATTAGATAAATTTTCATACGATCATTAAAGGTGTAAAGCCGAAAAAAAGGATGAATGTGGTGAGAAGGTGGTTAACACAATAGACGTCAACGATACACAGGTAGCATATCCACAGGGACACATATCAGAGAAAAAAGAAGTGTTACAAGACGGACTCAGAAAATTGTAACGATAAATCCAGATCGTCAGAAAAGAGATCTAGAATAGAATTTTTCGCGTTGCTATTGAACCACATAGAATCTATTTCAATGATTTAGAAAGAAATAGTTGTTTTCTAGAAACAAACGAGTGGATTTTCTTCTTTTATTTGTTACAGCGGCTGTACGCGTATGAAGTGATATTTTAAATAATTTTCGCAGGTATTTTGAAAGTAAATTGTTAGATTTAAGGAGCTGACGGCTTATAAAAGGTGAGAATTACTTTTTATTTCATAATCAGCAAATTGCTATGTCTTTTTTTACTGTGAATTTTATTTTTTTCTTCATCTTTGACTTGTATTCATATTTTCATATAATGCTTGGCTACATCAGATAATATGATTTCCGCTATTCAGCTACTTTGTTATTACATCACTAGTATCAATCGAACTAAGAGATTCAACACGATGGTCTCTGCAAAAGTGTATAGATAGTAATCAGAAAATACTATCATTAGAAGTGACCTAAATGAGTTATATTATCTGAACTTTTTCTATCATTCAATTTACTTGTTTGTTTTGAAATCTTTTATTCGCTCACTTTTCTTCGAAACTGTATTATGTGTATTAATGGTGATAATGTAGATGAAGCTCTAATACGTTAGTACGAAATCTCTCATGTTCGCTTGTTTTATTTATAGTAAAAAGCGGGGTCAGTGTTTCAATATTCAAGTTTTAGACGTGACTACACAACGGAACAAGTGTATTTTATCAGGGGAAGTTTGTTCAGACTTTGATGGAAAATGAGATGTTTTATGGTCTAGATGGTGTAAATCAATACATTGTTGGTACTTCTGTGTAGCAGTAATACAGTATCTCACTCATCAATTTACTAAAATCTGTTATAATGTATTGCGCATTCGCAATGTTCTCACCAGCGTACTGCCGTTCTAGTATTTGTTCTTATCCAAGAAAAGATAATCGATAAATAATTTAATGAGGATGTTTTGATGATGAAAAACTTCCACTTTACAAATACATTCAGTCAACAACACTTTATATATTCAAGAAGCTTCGAGTATTTTTGAAGCTGTTATTCTGTTATTGTTTTTCTACTGTTTTCATGCGATATATCTGTTTGATCGAAGAAGAACATTGTAAAACACTAAACGAAGCCATTCTCGTGACACCATTTAAATAGTTGAACCGACTATAAATTTAACTTGAATCATAATGAATGATTTTTGTTGTTGTAATTTGTTGAGTATGGACATGTGTTTTTGTTAAATATTTTGTGTATGAGTGAATATCTCGCGTGATCATCAAAATTTATAAACATCAAAAACTATTATAGTTAAAAGTCTATGTATATTTCTAATACAATAATTAAAAGATATATTTTACTGACAAAATATGATTTGTCTTTATGTGTTCAACTATTTTAATTATGATGAATATTGTTGCACGAGAAGAAACACAAAGGGTCAGAAAATGAAAGTTTGTGTGTTGTTAACAATGTCACGAAAAGTAGTAAATTATATACACATTGAGAAAACTTTGAAGTTCATTTTATAATGCTTGATATAAGTAATTTATAGGAGCATTTACTCAAAACGAAATCAATCTTAAGTAAATTACAAAAACAATTTGGCTCGTAATAACACATTTATATTAGAATTTGTTACATGTAACCGTCGTTGTTTAAGGATATATTCAGTGGATTTAGCACAAATATAGGTAATTTTCGAATGCAGTTAGCAAGAAAAATATTTTCTAATCAAAACTATGAAGTCATTTTCGTTTAAATGTGTTGTGGTTAAACAACAGTTTAGTGTTTATCTTAATCAATTGAGTGATTTAACACAGAAAAATTGTTTTATAGAAAGTCAATATTGATACTTATTATCATGATATATATTTGAATCAAAATCGAGGGGCATGCTCATCATACAGTGAGTAATTTAACCAGCAATGTCAGCTAAAACCTTATATTCTTTATTATTTGAAATGATGATAAGTAATTCGATATTCATAAGTAAATAGGAAGTAATTAGACAAATTATACAAAAATAACAAACAAGAGAGGAAAGACATTTTCTTGATGGAAAAGAGGAACATAATATTTAGTACGAAAACTGACATCATAAAATTCATTCAGTGTTACTTCTATCGATAGAAATTTTCTGATAAATAGTTACCGGTTTTCCTAGGTTTTTTGACCTAACGCACTACGAAACGCGTTTGAATTCGTTAGACAGAAGTAAATACTGTTAAACGCGTAATATATTAACGCGTTTAGATGCGTTAATCAACAGTGAACGCGTTTAAATACGTTGGAACTAAACGCGTTTGGCTGCGTCAAAAACTAGTAGAATGCTGTCAAAATAAACGCGCCTTGAAGCATCCAAAAGGCTAACGCGTGCGAACGCGTTTAGATGCGTTAGTGTACCTCAACTGCTGCTAAACGCGTCAGAAACGCACGCATTTAGATGCATTTACTAAAATACCGTGTTTGGCAGTGCAGTTCGGTACCTACGATGCTGCGGAACGCGTTTGAATATATTTCATACAAACTACTGCTAAACGCTTCAGATTCTAACGCATTTTTACACGACAAGCAGCGAATGCATTCATTCATGTAAGAAAATTGAGTCTTAGCGGAGTTTCAGCCAGGTACATTGTACAGCGTTGGGACGCCTAAGAATTTGCCTCCAAAGACATATTCATAGGCAACGAGAGCATCGACTCACTAAGTCACTCATTATGAAACGATAAAAAGAAACAGTAAATATGTCAAGTAGTAGAGGAGCGATTCTTAAATGACGGTCGATTCAGGAGGGCTATAAGATAGAAGGGAGGGCGGATAAGCGCAAAAAGTACTCACGCGTCTCAGTTTTTCAAATTTTCCATTTCTAGAACCCCAAAAAGTCTTAATAGCCATTCCAGAAATAGAATTTGACCCAGGAAACTAACGAAAACAAAGAGTATTTCTAAATCTTGTCGTAACTTTCTAATCAACTTGAAGTCTGTGGCACCCACGGTTTCCTTTTTTAGAAATTCTATCCTGCAAACTAAGTCTTGCAGAAAAAATTTCACGAATAAAAAACTTCAGACTTGTGTCGATCTTCTTAGACGAAGAGAATAAGAGTTTTTAACAAAGAAAACACTAGGAACTTTCACACAATGTAGGAAAACGAAAAGCAGCAAAGAAATGTGGTTTGTCTTCATTATAATAAACAAGTTTTTCAACTCTTTCATTGCTTTTTATATAGAGTACAGTATTTGTTCTGTAGCCAAATTGTACATTTCGACAAATGACAATTCTTTTATGAACAGATAGATGTAGTTTTTTTACAATCACTGGTTGTTGCACCTGATATAACACAATATTCTTGACATGAATAATGTTGCTGATAATTCCAACAAAAGTTTGACTTTTGATTTTGAATAGAATACAAGAATCATCGAATTTTTTACCTTTTGCGAATGCTGCGATGGTGAATCTGACAGATCCAATATATGGCGTTGAATACAAAGTAACTTTTCGAATGTCAATACTAGAATAAATTTCGTCCAGCTCCGACTGATCGACTTTTCGTTTAAAATGCACTTTTAGTGTAGACAATGCTGTTGCTGTGGCATTCAACGATAGTCGAATACGTTTAGTTGCTTGAACGCTGTGAAGAAGATCTTTGATTTCACAATTAATTGACGATGTACTTAGGAGAAACTGGGTTGAAGACATTGAGATTGCTCTTTATCTCGGATGCGTGATTCTTCGTACAGTGAACTGTAGAGGTAATCAACCTTAAAGAGAGATAGCACACATAGAACTGTAAACCTGTTTAAGTTTGCTACATTTCAGCATACTATAGATCCGTCAATATATCTCTTTTACTAAAGACAGTGCCTATCGTAAAAACACACATTTCTTACCTAATACTCCTTCGAAGTTGAAGATTGAATAACTTGACCATTGACTGTAATCAGCTATTGACGGCTGATGTATATGGATACAGCATGTGAATATTTTGAACATTATGTCTTGTAGAGCAGAAATGAGGGAACAGATCGAGGAATTCACGTAGTAAAAGACGAACTTCATATATTTGGCTTTCAATCAGATGTTTTGATTCAACGTGAGCAGCAAAAGTAGATGATCGTAGTAAGGTTTTTTTCAATACATTTTGAAAAGAGAGGAAGCCAAAAAGTAACACCATTCGTTGTTCGTTAGCTTTAAACCGATAATCTAAGAAAGTATAAGGAGCACGAACCATTGTTGAAGGATAACGATATTTTTAAGATTCTCGGTGATTTTGTTGATCTGAGAACGACTAGACCATTCTTCATCACGATATTCCGGATTAAACCATAAACAGAGCTGCCGTTCCTAAACGATAACAATTGGAAAGTTCGCCTATTACTTAGAGAGGCTTGTATGTATCAGAAAGCAGCAGAAAAAAAATTCTTCTTTAGCTTTGAGTAGAGCGTACTCTACTCCTCATACTACTTAAGCTCTAAAATTAATAGTATCTACATTAAAGACTCTTCTATAGAGTACTTACAAATACGCCGTGGTACAAGTTATGGAGAGAGTCAAACAGCATTTTCATCGACTATTAATTTTGGTAGTGGCACAAATCTTTTTATCCTTTCTAATTTTCTTGCGATCTGTTCATCACAATAAAATTTCTCTTCAAAGACATCAATCAGAATTAATTTTATATCATCATCACTGGCTGGTGAAATTCTTGAGAGCTGTATATAACCACGTCCTGATCCGAACAATGTTTCTGTGCAACAAACTAATTCTTTAACAGTTGCACCTTGAATTTTATCAACTGTTGCTGCCCAAGCTAGTTTAATGGCAAGCTGTTGACCAAGATATTGACTTCTACCATTCACCGGATTATTTTCATCAGGTTCAACATTTGTTCTTTTAACACAAATTGTACCTAAATTACGATTGTTGTCTATGTTCTATACCAACTCGTTCTTCTTCAGATCTTAAGACTATCTTTACTACTGCTGTTTCTTCATCATTATACAAGAAATTAACAGTGGTACAGAAGCTACCATTAGCAAAGCCATCTGGAATGTTCGGATTTCTTGTTAACATTACTCTAGCACCAACTCCCAATCCTAGTGTATCTAGTGTTATACGATCGGATCTTGCAGATTTTTTTTTGAGCGGTGGTATTTTGACTATTTCTCTGCAAACTTCTTTTAACAGTTTATTCGTCAGAAGTTACTGGCAGGATGGTTAAAGAATCTAGCGATATAAGAAAGAGTTAACGTTTTACTAAAGCAATAGTTCTCAGATTCGTAACCAGTATCACGGACTTAACAAATTCGAGTATATTTTAGCTCAATTATAAGTAGAGAAGACAAATATGCTCTCGTGTGGATGCACAGATCATTCACTTGATTGTTTCGAGAGAAAAGAGCTCGACAGTTCCGATTTTCACCATTCAAAAGAGCAAACTTTAGGAATTTTTTCATAACCAAAATCTTTCTTAGAAGAGTTTTCTGAGATAGGTTTTATAGAAGATCTTTGGAAAACTAGGCAGTGTGCGAAACTTTTCCAATAAGATTGTATTGATTTTTTTCATACGCTGATGGCCCGAGGTGTTCTCTTCAAAATGAGAGTCAAGCGAGACCTTGATTTTCCGTGATTCGTGCGCTGTATTGAATTTCCTACGAGTCTCAGGGCTGGCAACACCTTGTACAATTACTTGATGTAATTGTGAATAATTATGAAACCATAAATGTTCACCGGATGCTATTAATAATTGATTAAGTGTATCAAATAAAATGATTTTTGATGATAAATTAACTAAATCATTTATTGATGATGCTAATAGTAGAGCAGCTAATGGTAATTGTTTACTTATGGTTGACGATATTAATTCTTATCATAAACGATCAAAATCATATTGTTTCCAACTGTAAGACTTTAATGCATTTATACATGACCGTTCAAATCATATTCTTCAATGAGGCAGCAGTTGATGTTTGATGTATATGTCGAGTCTGGTGAATTTGCTGACGAATTAAGAAAAAATATATCTTTAACACTATTTGCATTTAGTTATCTTTTATTACCATCACCATTAAATGCACTACGTATATTATTAGCGACAAGTATAAATATATCAGTAAAAAATATAGATCCAAATATATTATCATTAATTATTGCCATATATGGTGGTCTACATCTACATGAACAAATCAATAGTGATAATAAAAAAATGTCTGTTATTACATTTTTACCATTACATATACATTGTGATTCATCACTGACACCAATTTTAATTGAATATTTTAATAGTATCCATAATAATAAGACGAAAATTAAAATAATTATCATTTGTATTATTGAAATATTGCAAACTAATTATCGTCATTTATTCAACAAACAACATTTGAATATAATTTATAATCATTATTAATTGAGACATTAAATGCATTATCAAAAGATTTATCTTGTTTAACACGCACAATACTTGTTTATACTTTTACTTAAATTTGAATATAAAAAATTAACACTGAAATATATACATTCAATGATTCTTTAGTAAATCAAAATATTGATTTACTTGAAAATAATAATAATCAAAATCATACTATTTAACACATTTGACAATAATTGAATTCGATTCCTCTTTAATCGACGCTCTGAATAAAAATGATACAAAGTTAATAAAAAAAAGTTAAAGTTAATTAAAATTCTGCAACATTACCGTACAATTGAATTATCTGCACGTTCTTTGGTAGAAAATTGGTTAAAATACAATGATAAAAATAATATACTCAGTCATTTATCTTATCATGCGGCATTATTATTAGCACAATCAAATATATGGAATGCAATTATTGCAAATATATTGTGTGATTTATTAATATGTGATAATGATTATTTTCATCAACATACAGAAACAATATTAAATTTTGAGGATATAAAATTAACAACAAATTTAACGTTTGATACTATTTTAATATTCATAAAACATTCTATACAATATCGTACACAATCAGCATCAGCATCAGTACGTTTACTATGGCTATTTGAATCAGTTAAATTTGATCATATTGAACATTTAAAAACGATATTTAAATTGAAAAAACAGCGTATACAGTTTATGATACGAAAATTTTTTTTATAATAATTTAGAAACAGTAGCCACATATAAAAAATTTATATTATTAGGATATCAATTAGATGTATCTTTATTGTTTTGTATATGCCATCTTTCTAATACAATAATACACTATTATTTTTCATTATTAATGGGTGGTGTTGTCGATGATGATGATGATGTCATAGTAGAAAGGTAGTAGCCTTAGCCTATGGATTAGTATTAGTGATAGTATCAAAAGTCTGATAAAGAATAGTTAATAATAACCACCTGAATAAGAATAGTTCCATGGTTCAAAGGAACCAAAAATTAACAAAATTAGAAAATCATATTTATAAGTTCAAAACCAAATATAATGAAATTCGACAAATGTCGTTCGAAAAAGTGGCCGAGAGAAGAACACTTTCAAAAGCGATCCCTTGTGGCGCTGATCCTATTTGTAGCGGTCTTTATTTGGTTTACTTCTCAAGTGACCACTGGGTAGCGCTTTGCAAGTGGTTTTCTGTAAAGCACTTTTCAAAGTGTTCTCCAGTTAAACACTTCAAAAGCACGGCAAAACAAGGCCGCTATAAATAGGATCAGCACCACTGGAGAGCGCTTTCTTTTTTACTCTGTGGTATAGCTCGAGATCTCCAGATTGTATTTTATCCGAATGGGAACGTTTTGGAGAGAAAAAAAGGGTATTCTCTAATAAGAAATTTACTCGTCTTTCCTTGTGCCTTTTCAACGTCCAAGGATGAGAAGCAGAGCTCTGGAAGTGTTAGACTTAATCCACAAAGTTGAGGCATCCTTCGTGGTTTGTATTGAAGTTGGAGAACTTTGGAATTCTTTTAAAATACCAGATTTTACTGTGTTTCATGAGGAAGGCTCGAATCGATGTGGAGAAAATATGTTGGGAAAACCCCATGTAGGGCTAAAAACAGAAAGCTCTATAACTTAGTAAATAAAAGAGATGAAAAGCTGAAATATTCCAGGAACAAATATCTTTACAGGACAATCATTTCACCTTTGAAATATTTCCACTTTCTGACTTTTTCAAATAAAATTCTCCAAACCTTGATTATAAATTCTACTATCTCGTACAGAATTTCATGCTCAACTCGAATCCACACTTTATGATGCCATTTGAACTAAACTTCGTCTCGTTTTATACAAGTGATGATTGATGGCAAAATCAATGAAGTGCATTAGAGAAAACGAGCAAGAATAAAATATATTTAAATAATGTTAGTTGATGCAATAAGCAAATGAAAGCTGTTACACTGAAAAAATAAGCACAAGTGTGCACGTAAAGTATTTCATTATATTGAGATTGTTGCAAGTTTATCATCACCAACAGTTACCGAAGAAGCTGAAACTGGCTGCGGTACAGGAGGAACGGTATTATCGCTCCACACTAGTTTTCGTTCAAAATATGGCCACCAAATGTATCGACGAATCAAACGTACAATTAATGGTACTAAAAGTTTATAAACTTTTGTAAGTCCACCAATTAAACCAATGATTGTTATAATGATAAATATCGGTGTACTTCGACTCACATATGAATAAGTACAATATTGTGGTTGACAGGTATTGGAATAGAATTCGTATGATGCGTTATTATTCCATTGTTCAATCATTAAATTTTGTACCAGTTCACCAACTGTTGTAGCTGTATTATACTGAGTTGTTAAAGACGAATTGAGAATTGTAACATTGTTATTTAATGGATATTGTATACCATTGAGTAGTGATGATAAACATGTCTGATCATAGAAACACTGAAGATCAGAATGTAATACAGCATCAACAATATAACATCCCACGTAAATTCCTAAACGAGAAGATGAAAGACTAAAAGGTGTAAAAAAGGTATTAAAAATAATATATAAAATACCTGGTATACGCCAAATAAGTGCTATGTTACTCGAAACATAACAATAATAATGGTTATCATAATAAGGAGAATTTATACTATAAATCGCAGGTTGTTGAAAGCAACTACGTGTTTCTATACAACCACATGATTCATTCGTTGTCGTATTATAAATGCGATCATAATCATAAATATAATCCTCATACGATGCATATTCTAGTGGATGCGCCGCCACTAACACTGTATTTGTTAATAGATAAGACATTAATGTATTTCCTTGTGTTGTACTTTGAATTAATAGTAATGATCTTTTAAATGAATTTATTATTGTTTGTTTAAATGTAATAATAGTTTTTACTGCTTGCGATTCAAAGAAAGTCTTTGAAATAACATTAACTGATATGAATTTTGTTAAATTAAAGATATCTAACTGATAACTAACTGCTTCTTGAGTTAACTCACATAATTTTGATAATAGTTGAAATGCAACACTTGCTATTTGTCGAAAATCATCTTCGTTTGTTATGACAAGTAATGATACGTCATACTCAACGTTATTTATCCATTGCATAGTAATAAAGTCTGACTGACAAATTTGATGATATTTAGGTTGAAATGAGACTAATTTTTGTCAGTCAACTATACTATTAGAACATGGACCTTGAAGTGTTTGTGAATATTTTTGATATATTATTCGGTTGATATTCGTAGGATTTTGAATAGTTATGCTGTAATGCATGAGATAAGAAAAGACCTAATATGTAGAGAAACGCAGAATATCGAACGCTAATATGAGTGATGTGATTGAGCACCAATTCGGTTTCTTGTTACCTGGCGGCTGCCTCACGTTTTCCATCTAAAAGATGAACCATGGCGGTGCGTTTACAGTTTTTACTTTTTCGTAAGTACTGCATATACCAAGTTACGACCTGATTGTAGTAGTTTTAGCTTAAATTTATTTATTTGTTCATAAATTTTATCGATCTCAACTTGTTTCCTCAATCAATGTTTTGGTCTCCGCGTCAGATAAAATAATTTATCGTTTGTTGCAATTTTTGTTTTCTTCTTTAAAAGCGTTTCTTTTGCTTTATGTGATTTAATCGCTAAAATCGTCGCAGACTACTACGACTACTCATGTCAAATATGAAACAAATAATAGTCTTTTTTCTTTTCTTTCAATAGGTGTTAGTGCTCAATTATTATATTATTAATGACATATAAAATCGCATATACCAGATGTATTTCTGTTCTAACAGAGTAATCTAAAGCTATGACAACAAAGAAACGTTTAGAAAAATAATTTCAAAACCAGTTCTGGTCAGATAGGATAGATTACAACACATTTCCTCTCAATGCTTACTGAGTTCAGGTTACAATTTCGTCTTACATTTAATATGATCAGTTGCGGATGGCTGTAAATTAATTTCATTTACGTATAAAATGTTATCAATTGTCGTTGACTATCTACCTGTGTTTATTATGTCACACAAATTAACACTAACTATTAAATCATATTTTAAATTTTGCTGATCTTGAAATGTCGATATGAAAAAATGAATATTTTGATCACTATGATCTTTCTTATAATGTAGATTAATCATATTTTTCATATGTGACAACTTCTTTGGTACACTGTAATCTTAAATTAATTTCTAGTTTATAGAAAATCGACCGAAAAATCGTCGGGCATTTTCTAGTTTATAGAAATTCCTCGACGAATTTCCAGTTTTCTAGGAAATGTTGATTTTCTACTTTATAGAGAATCGACTTGATTTTCCATACATTCGATTTTCTATAAAGGTGAAGAATCGCTGAGAGTTTTCTATAAATAATTTCCAAGAATCTGGAAATTCGATTCTGATTTTCTATAAATTAGAAAATCCTCGGCAATTTTCTAGAAAGTGGAAATTCGCCCAGGAATTTCTAGACCAAATACTTATTCATCTTTTTGTTTTGCAATCAGTGTAGGTATAAGAGCGTCACGTAAAGACACTCATATTACACTTAAATCAATTTTGACAGTTTCTACTTTAGATCACAATTCTGCCTACGTCAGCAAGAGTTTTGATTTAGGCAGAGACAGTGGTGGCGCGAAGTTTCGGTAGAAAGGTCCGAAAATCCGAGACGTTCGCCAGAACTCTCTCAAAAGCATGAGCTGGATCAACCCTCATACAACCTGGTCGCGCCGGCACTCGGTGCAGACTCGCCAAGGAATTTTCAGTTTATAGAAAATGATCTTAAAAGAGTAAAAGGCTGGGCGGACTCTTTCTTGAAAATTATTTATGGAAATTCAACGAGGATTTTCTAGCTTGTTGGAAATTTATCGGTAATGGGATGGACATATTATAAGACCCTCCCACAATAAAAGACTCCCCTAAATAGAAGACCCTTCTTAAACTCATCTTACAAAAGTCAAAATAAAAGACCCCTTCTATTTTTCAATTTTTTAATTATAAGTCTCGCATAATAATATATATGTTCCATTGAAAGCAAATTCTCTCGTCCTCTGAAGCGTATGAAGAAGAGAGTCATTTTTTTAGTAATTGTAATTTTTTAGTAGTATTTAAGTATTAGAGTCATTTTTTTAAAACGAATTGCTATCTAAAAGTATATTTCCTCACGAGTGGCAGCTTGCAAAAATTGTAACTTTGAATAAATCAAAACCAGACATTCCCTCCTGCGAACACACCCGATCAATATCCCTATTACCCACATACTCAAAACTGTATGAAAAAATTATTCTTAAAAGAGTAAAAGGCTAGGCGGACTCAAATAGTATTGTGTCTCCGGAATAATCTGGATTTAGGGATAATGGACTACTTCAAACACGTGTACTATCAATCTATCAGGAGGTAAAAAATAACCTTGCAGCAAATGTCCCTGTTGTATCTGTCTACGTAGATTATAAAAAAGTATACGACATGGCTTGGCACATGAGATTAATTGTTAAACTCTGTAGACTATGGATGCCGCTTGAGCTTTTAAAATTGATTGTAAGTTGGTTACGTGACCGGAAAGCCTTCGTTATAGTCGGAAAGTTTAAATCGGGTATTTTCAAGTACATAAGACTTCCTCAAGGTAGTGCACTAAGTCCTTTTATTTTTATTATCTTTCACACCGATTTAGTGAAATGCGAAGGAGCTTTTTCTGCCATCTGTTTGCCGACGATCTAAGTACAATTATTGTCCCTTCAGTTTCAAGTGGTTTGTCTAAAATGCTAAAATTTTTAAATGAGGAAGGTACGAAAGTGTGTAATAATCTCTTTAATTACTCACGCCCAGGGTGCTGCCTTTCACTGTACCTTTCCGCAGTGATTTTGTAGAACAAACATTTCTCTTGCATATGAGATGCAAACGGGCCGTAAGGATCAAGCTGTTTCTGAGATATTAAATAAACATTGATTTCATCCACAAATGGAGCTTCTGGTGATGACTAAAAAGTTAAGTTCACCTAATTCATGAACACTGCCATACGAAGGCGAGAGATCTTGGATTTCTTAGTTTTTCGATGAGCTCTTTCGAACTAGAATACTAAGAACAAAAAAAATTTTTAGCTCCGGTCACTATTCCCTTAGTAGGTCGGTTTTCTCACGGATCCTCTTAAGTATTATTCTCATTGTTTTAAACAACACGAAGTCAATTTTCTCTCACTAGCTGATGTACGTGCTTTCAATTATATTAACAACTTCAACAATGATTTAAATGAGCTACCATCGAAGACCTTCTATTTACCAGGAATGATTTTCGATGGGCTATTAGAAGACTCAGAGCTAAACGATCATGTAGATCGGATAAAGTTTCAAACAAAATGATTAAACTCCTTCCACAATCTCATTATTCGTTTATTCTGGTAGCATTCAATAAACTTTTGACCACAAATTTATATTCGTCTCATTGGAAAACAGCAAAAATGCTCTTACTTCAGAAAGAAAAAACATCGTTGATCTCAATTGAGAAAACCAGACCGTTCTTACTAATATCATGTTTTGGTAAAGTTTTCGAAAAATGTATACTTATTTACATCAGACGATGGATGACAGAAAACAATATACTCCCCGACGAACAATCAGGATTCAGACCAGCTCACTCAACAACAACAAGATTTGATCAATTTCTTGAAGACTGTACTACCGCACTAGAGCAACACACAGCATCACTCATTATGTACATTGACTTTGTTAAAGCTTTTGACCAAATATGGCACGATATCCTCATTTACAAACTTGCTCAATTGAACTGTCCTCGTTAACTGCTCGGCTGGAACAGCATGTATTTAACTCGAAGATCATCATGTATACAAATGGGGAACGAAAAATCCAACATATTTTCTATTAAACGTGGTGTACCCCAAGACTCGGGAATTTTTTTCGTTGTTCTCCTCTCATATAGTACAATGAAATGTACGATTCAGTTTCTTTAGAGTGCTGTAAAGAAAGTAAAAGCTGTAATAATCAAGCAATAACAGTCATACTTGAATCAAATGGCTAATACAAATGAAATATGTATTTTTAGTTCTAGAATATGAGAAGTATGTGTGCTTAGATCTGCTTTTTAACTCACCTTTCTAAAGTTTTTTGGGTACTCTCTAGTAGCAGTACAATAAGTTTAAAAGATTTACACAATATGTCAACTTTTTCTGAACAAGAACCTGCGTCACTATAGGAATATTTATCACTTTGTGCAGGTTTTTTTAATCTGAAACCTCTTAACTGACAATGTCATAAAATGTGCTCTAGTCATAATGATTCGTTAATGAAACAGCCAAGATGTGATAGATATCTTTTGTAGAATAATCTTTTTCAAGCTTCCTATGACAAACGCCACACCGTCGGATTATATACCGACCAATCAAACGCATTCCAAATCAATTCTAATGATTTTTGATCTCGAACTTTTTATTCATAGAAGACAATTATCACATCTTGGCGGTTTCATAACGAATCATAATGATTACAGCATACTTTATGACATTGTACAAATTAACAGGTCTCAGCTATTTTAGTTTTTGCTTTTTGGCTGACCACAGTGTTTTCTCTGATTTTATCTTCTCATAGTGACTTTGTAGAGCGAACATTTCCTTTCAGATGAGACGGGAACGGATCCTAACGGTTAAGCTATTTCTGAGATATTGGGCAAATATTGATCTCATCGAAAAAATCTGTTCTGCCGCATTTAAATCCTAATTTATTTTATTTTGTTTAAGTTCGGTTCCTTTGATTGTATTGTGGATACATACATACATTGGCATATATATTTATATACTTCCAATTTATTCGTTATTTTTAAAATAACGAGTATTGTCCCATGTAAGCAAGAGAATGTAATAAACGAAGATATTTACATTTACTACCAAGAAATATACCTCGAATACATTAGGTTTTGCACATTTTGTACGTATATGACTACACTTTTTATTTAAAGTTTCTTTAAATAACAGCACTGCTTTTCTGCTTTCATTGAGATGATATGGGAGCGTTTCAAAATGTATTTCAATCGGTCAGTCACTGTTCCGTTATTCCTGTGTTCCTTTATTCTACGACTATTCCTGTATTCTGCTGTTATACAATATTTCATTTTATAATAATTTTTATATAAATGTATACAGGAACTTCATTTTCTTTTCTAATTGATTTAATTACTTTCTTCAAACACAATTAACCGCTATGTGTCAAAAGATTATTCTTTTATCAACCTATCAAAAATACATGTACTTGTCTTTTACAGTTTATCCTACTCTGATACTATTTAGACTTTCCTATATGAGAAATTCCTCCGGTTTTCTGTTTAAACAATAAAATAGGAAAAGAACAAACTTTATATTTTTATCAAATGTTCATATTTTATATATTCAAGGAGGACAATGCACAAAAAAAAATACATCAGTATCGTGAACAACTTGTGTATTTTAAACTAGTATAAAAGATGGAATTAGACCTCTAATTAATGTAATTTTAGTGCGCAAAGTTGGCAAAATACGAAATAAATTTACATTGTGCACTGTCCTCCTTGAATATATAAAATATGAACATTTGATGAAAATATAAAGTTTGTTCTTTTCCTATTTTATTGTTTAAACAGAAAACCAGAGAAATTTCTCATATAGGAAAGTCTAAATAGTATCAGAGTAGAATCATACTTCATTTATCATCGTCGCGAACGGAGGCTTCTTCGTTTCTTTGCATCTCTTCCTCTGTACGATATTTTTATATATACATCGACCCTTGTGATTGCTCCTTGTCACGTTGCTATACACGTGCCAATTTATTTCTATCACTTTGTTGGCTTAACTAATTATGTCTTCCGGGCCGTGGCCCTTACGGCCAGCAAGCAGTTATGGTCCCTCGATTCTTCGACCTTTGTCCAGATATACAACGCCAACCTCTATGATAGTGAATCGAGCACATTCAATGTTAAGTGAGTACGCAGACGGCAATTACTATCCAGTACAACCTCAGCATCCTTATCCTTACCCCAGTCAACCGGTGTACTATCAGGACTATGATCAAAACATATCTTATGGCTACTCAGCACCTGATCAACAGAAACAACAAATAGGTACGTTATCTACAACAACGATGAGTAACCAAGTGCAACTATCCAACCCTCAACCGGTGACAGTTCCTGCTACACCTAAAAATCGACGTACTCTTGCTAATATGGAAGAAGAGAATGATGAATTAAATGATTTTATAAATGATCCTACAACAAAAACAATAGAACGTAATCGTAAATATCAGAAAACAAACAATCAGTATGCGATGAATCATATGATGAATCATTCAACTTCACGATCAATAATAATAATAATAATAATAACAAAAAAAGTATCAGAGTAGAATAAACTGTAAAAGACAAGTACATGTATTTTTGATAGGTTGATAAAAGAATAATCTTTTGACACATAGCGGTTAATTGTGTTTGAAGAAAGTAATTAAATCAATTAGAAAAGAA